GGAGGAGGAGGAGAAATCCAGGAAACACCAAAACTGCCCCCAGCAGAGACCAAGCTGCACAAAGGGCACCAGCAGCCCACCCTGTCCCTCCTCCCAGTGCTGCCTCTGGCCAGGAAGAGCTCAGAGAGACCTTCCAGAGACTCGGGCAGCTCTGCCGGCTGGCCCGCCTGCCCAGAGGTCCCTCGAGGAAGAGCTTTAATCCTGTTCGGCTTGTGGGACTGCCTTGCAGAATCAGCACTCCTTTGGGAGCCAAAGACAGCAATAAAAACACTTGTTGGCCTTGCATGTAAATTTACGGGGTGTTTTCTTCTCTGTGGGCTTGGGGGCAATTGCTGGAAAGGCCCAGTGTGGGAGGTTTATGTTGTGGGATTTTGAATCATTTACGAGTTCCCATGTAGTTAAAGATGCTGGAGCAGGGACCCCGTTCCTTTTGCAACAAATAAGGAAAGTACGTATTGCCTTTTCCTCATTTTTGGTTCCCATATTCTCCAGAATTCTTATTACAATATATATACAATAGACCATTTCTCTGTAGAATTTCCCCCCATCACCACTTGCTCACAGCTGGTCCTAAGTTATGGGGTGTCATTAGGGGTGATATCATAATTGGGCAGGTACAAACCACCTGACGACAGGGTGTCAGAGCTTCAGTGTTGCAGCCACGCCGCCACCGGTCACTGCTGCCATGCTGTGCTCTGTCCTGGGGGTGCCGGTGGCCTCTGAGCGTGCCCAGCTGCCCCCCATCACCCACCATCTGCCCCAGGCCAGCATCTGTCAGGGGGGCCAGGGCTCATGATGGCCCCAGGGCAGCTAGTGCAGCTGAAGCCAATGGACTTGCTCGAGCGAGCCAGATTCCTTTGCAGAGGCCTCTCCTGAGCAGGCAGAGGATTCCGCTGACAGCCATTTCCTCGCATGGCCTTCCCCAGCTGCAGGTCCTTGCCCAGGGCCCCACTTGCTCTAGAGGCCTGGGACTCTGCCCAGAAAGCCCACCCAGCGCTCCTGGCAGCCCCAAGGTCCAGCTCCCAGCCCTGGAACATCCCTCTTGCACCTGGCCAGCATCACTGTACAGAGATGAGCGCGAGTCCTACCCCACGGGCCCACCACCCCTTCCCAGACAAGGTCCTGTTGGTCCCAGCACCTGAGCAGAGCCTCTGTGCCGCAGATGCAGCTCTGTGGGTGCTGGCAGACAGAAGGAGCCGGCCCAGAGGCAAGGACAGCGGTCACCCCACACCACCGTGACCCTCATTCCTCCACTGCAGGGTGACAGCGGTGCTCCTCTCATCTGCAAAGACAACAGTGCTGAGGATTTCTGGCTCGTTGGGGTGACCAGGTGGGGGAGAGGCTGCACGAGAGCAAAACAACCCAGAGTCCACACCTCCACTCAGCACTTTTACAACTGGATCCTAGAACAGATGGGGCTGCCCCCAGCAGGAACGGTTGCTCCAACGCCACAGTCCACCTTCCCCTCAACCCCCCTTCAGAGGCCAAGGCCAACACCAACACAATCAGGCAGGTTCAGCTCCTACCCCCTGCTCCCCAGAAGTTGGTGGAATTCTTTACTTAGTTGCAGGAGCTCCTGCAGAACCTGAGGGAAGGCCTGAGCAGCAGGATGGACAGGATCCAGTGCAGGCTGCAGTGTACCAGGACCATCTCCTGCAGGGGCTCTGCCTGCTGAGCCAACAGCAGCCTCAGCATCAACGGCCTGCTCAGTCCTGCCCACACCCCTCTGACTGCAAAAAAACACCAATGTTTATCTTAGTTGAATGAAGCTGCCACGTTCCACAGCCCACCATGCTTCGGTTCCATTCCATCTCCTGTCCAAAGCAAGGATTCCACACCTGGCACCTGCAAAATGAGGCTGCAGGCAGCCAAGTGGGGCACAAAGGGGAAGAGTCACTCCGAGGGGTGACCCCGAGCCTGGTCGGAGGGGAGGAGGAGGGTGCAGGGGGAGAAGGGCCCACTGGTCACAGGGGCCAAGAGGTCTTGGGGACAGCAGCTGGAACACAGGGTGTCTTAGGGTGGCTGCTGGTGGGACCTCGGAGTGCATGTGTACAGTGAACCAGTGAACTTGAAACTAGACTCTCGTGACCCGGAGACATGGCTCTGGACAGACCCAAGCTGTGCCCCATGCCGGGGTGAGGAGCTGGCCATCCCAACACCCATATCCCAGGTGCTTGGTGTCCCTGCTGTCAGCTGAGCAATCTCTGCACGTGCTGTGCTGGTGAATCCAGGGAGTGAAGGGTGTTTGTGTTTCACTAGTAAACATCTGCCCCCACCCATCTGGAAAGACAGAGAAGGACCGGCCTGTGCTCCTGGCGATGGGCGGGCTGGTTACGAACCCAGGGATGCTGGTAAATGTCTTGGCCTGCCTGTGTCTGTTCTGCTCTTCCCATCAACTGTGAGTGTCTGTGCATGTGTTTGTGTATCTGCCCTTTGTGATGCAGCATCAGTCTTTGGAACACACACAGAGGGACAGCAGCAGCCACATCCATGAGCCACATCCATCCATCCTCCTAGGGGTGAGACCCCCAGATTCAGCTCTAGTAGGACTGAAAGGAGAAATCCCCCATGCTCAGCAGTGCCCTGGCTGCTCCCTGACAGAACAGGGAAGGAAACCCAGAGAAAGTCTGCAGCAGAGGTCACGATGGGCAGAGGCAGCGCTGGTGAGGTGTGACGGCGAGGGCTGGCAACTGGACTGGCACTGTACAGTAACTGGGCTGCTGCTAACAGGAGGGCAGCAAGGTACAAGCTCAAACCTTTGTACAAAAGGTTATTTAGTGATTGTTTCCTCCAGTGGGTACCATTAAAGCATCTTGGCAGGACCCTGCCCTGCAGATCCCAACACGACTTCTCTCTCCTGGCCAGCTCTGCCTTGAAGAAACATGCAGTAACTGCATCACCAGAGCTCTCGGGGCCTGAGAACATTCCCTCTGCCAAGGGCAGCTCTGAGCAGCCCGAGATCCAGAGCAAAGGGAAGAACAGTCCCAGGGTGCAGGGCTGAGGCAGATGGGGTCTTCTCTTCAGGGCAGCTCCTCTTCACCCGACAGATTGTCACCCTCCTCCTGCAGGCCAAAGCTCTTGGAAGGAGCAGGACAAAGAGCTGCTGAGAAGTATGAAAGCAACAGCTGCACTCTGCTGTGGGTCTGTCAGATTTGGTCTGGGGCAGCGTGGGCTCTTCAGAGGGTCCCACCTCAGCCCTTCCCCCAGACACCAGCAGCACACAAACCCCGTGGGGTCACCAGCACAAGGCCAAGCTTCCCACCCTGCAGAGTTTTACCCTCTGCCCCAGGCTCTGCTTTCCCCGAGGGAAAAAAGAGCAGAGCTGGGAATGACTTGGGAGCAGTGTAGGAAGTGGAGCCTTTCTTACCTCCAGTTCTCCCTGAGCTCACCCAGGAAATCTGAACTCTGTTGGTAAGCAGCTGCTGGGTGATGGTCACTGAAGAGCTGCTGGGAAGCAGAACGCTTGTCACTCTGAGCAAGGGGCACTGGGTTCTGTAACACACGGAAACTGCTCCCACACACCAAGAAAAAAACCCAAACCTCTGCAACTCCCTGCAGTGACCAACCCTCACCGCAGCCCAAGAGCTGCCCCAGCCCATCTCCTGCTCCCTGTGCCTGCAGCAGACCCATGTCCCTGGGCTGCACAGGGCTCTCAGGGGGGCTGACCCCAAGGGCTGGGTTCTACCCTCACTGCACTGCTGCCATCTGCATTCCTGTAGGTCTTACCCCAAGCCCTTTGTGTACTCTAACCCCACACATCTCTGTAGGTCCTACCAAAACCCCCCATGTTCCCCACCCATTCCTGTAGGTCCTACACAAACCTCCCATAGTCTCTATGTCCCCCACATTCCTTTAGGTCTTACCTAAACCACCCATATTCCCCACCTCCATCCATTTCTGTAGGTCCTACCAAAACTCCCCTCTACTCCCCATCTCTACACATTCCTTTAGGTCCTCCCCAAACCCCCCCCATCCCACCACACCTTAAGGACAAGCCAGGTGGAGACGGTGATGAGGAGGGTCAGGACCTAGTAGGGGTCATCTCCCGTGGTGGGTTTTTTTTTTTTACAGTATATAACGACGTCGCGGCCGGCGGTGGCCTCATGCTCCTCCGCCACTTCTCCCTTGCGAGTGTTACCCTCCCTGGTGACATCATGGCTGTGCTGGGGCTCTGTGAAGAGGGCTTTGCCCCTGGGGGTTGGAGGGGTGGGCACCGATGATGTCATGCAGGGGAGTGATGTCACATGCCCCCCTCACACACACACCCCCACTTTGCTTCTTGCCCGCGCACACACACACACCCCCCTGCCCTTGCCCAGATGCTGTAGGGGCCCCTCTGGGCCTGGAGACCACCCCTGGGGCTGGGCCCCTCGCCATGAACCCTGACCACCACCAGCGCCCAGGTGAAGGGGGGATGGACGGGTTGGGG